AGCCAGACGGGACCGCTGGACACGGCAGAACAGTGGAGTAGTGAGCAAGGACAGGACCCCCAGAGGGGTCTGCCACGGAGACCGCAACCGGCCGTCTGAGCGGCGTAAGAGTGGTACGGTCTCGAAGAAAGGAGCGGGAAGCACCCGAGTCAAGGGTGAAAGTGTGCGATGCCTGAGCAGACGTGGTACCGGAGAGAGCTGAGTCACCAGCATCTAGAGCAGCAGACTCACTAGCACCTGGAGCAGCAGACTCGCTAGCACCTGGAGCAGCAGACTCACTGGCACCTAGAGCAGCAGCTGCACCGCCCGGGTCGGGCGGAACACTCAGGTAACAGTCACCGTCATCACTAGTAGACATAACATACATGGCAGCAAGGATAGCATCATAGTCAAGATCAAAGATAGGAACCCCCGACCTAAGTAGCTCATGCCAGTGCGGTAGCTCAGTGACGGAGGCAGGGAGGGGTGACCAAGACGGTGGTGCCAGAGAAGAGTCTCGTGGGACAGGAGGCGACACGAGCAGGGGGCAGACTCAGGACCAGACCGAGACGCCGCAGCAAACACCTGACCCGACGCAGCTACCTGACCAGGCACAGCAACCGGAGGAGACTCGGTAGTGAGGGTGTACAGGCTCGACCCCGGCCGACGGGTAAACGTGGCCAAGTGTCGGCCCGTGTCCGCACACGTGCAGTGGGTCACCCGCTGACGCGCAGGGGTGAACTGGTCAACCCCCCCATCCTGTAGGTCAGCACCCGCCACCAAGTTCGTAGAGAACGAGGGGAGGTAAAGACCCGACAGGGAGCCAGACGGGACCGCTGGACACGGTAGGACAGTGGAGTAGTGGGCAAGGACAGGACCCCCAGAGGGGTCTGCCAGGGAGACCGCAACCGGCCGACTGAGCGGCGTGAGTGTGGTGCGGTCTCGAAAGAAGGAGCGGGAAGCACCCGAGTCAAGGGTGAAAGTGTGCGACGCTTGAGCGGACGTGGTACCTGAGAGAGCAGACTCACCAGCACCTGGGGCAGCAGACTCACTAGCACCTGGGGCAGCAGACTCACTAGCACCTGGAGCAGCAGACTCACTGGCGCCTAGAGCAGCAGCTGCACCGCCTGGGTCGGGCGGAACACTCAGGTAACAGTCACCGTCATCACTAGTAGACATAACATACATGGCAGCAAGGATAGCATCATAGTCAAGATCAAAGATAGCAACTCCCGACCTAAGCCAACGAGGGAGCTCAGTGGCGTCAGGGAACCGGATACGCCAGGCGTCTGTCAGGCGGCCGAAGCAGCGCTGGGTGGTGTGTGGGCCGCCACATGGCTCACTTGTGCGGTCACCAGTACGCAAAACGTAAGTATAGGGACCAGCACCCCCAGGCCGCTGACGCCCAGCGTACCACTGGTGAAGCTGCTGCGGCGGCGGGGCCTCACGAGAGCGCTGCTGCTGCTGACGCTGTCCACCACCAGAGCCTCCCCCCTGCACGGAGCCACCCCGACCAGCGCCACCGCCACCACCGCCACTGCCTCCTCCGCTGCCACCGCCGCCACCGCCACCTCCTCCACTCCCACTGCCGCCGCTGCCGCTGCCTCCTCCACTCCCACCGCCGCCGCTGCCGCTGCCTCCGCCTCCACCGCCGCCACCAGAGCCCCCACCTCCGCCCCCACTCCCACCTCCACCCCCACCCCCCCGGCCGCCTCCACCGCCACCACCACCACCCCCGCCAGCTCCTCCAGCACCCTTGCCTCCCTTGCCCTTGCTGTTGCGGCGACGCAGCGCCGACCGACTCAGTGCCAAGGAGGTCGACAGCAGCAGCAGAGGCAACAGAGGGCAGAAGGGGGACAGGGGAGCACCCCTCAAAGAAAGGGGTACGAGGGTCACCTCGAGAGGCTCCTACAGCGACTATGCTCTTCTCAGCTGCAAGGAGTTCCTTCTCGAGGAGGTCAACGGTGAGAGTGGTGGGGCAGAGGGCTAGGAAGTGGTCCCTGACTGAGCGAAGGGAGTCAGGGAGGCGGGTGACGAGGTAGTAGAGGTTGATATACATGGGGGGGGGGTTCTTGGCGCAGAACTCAGCAGGAAGCGCAGCGCGGTAGCGAGTGTCACTAGTGCGGAGGTGCGTAATGAGGTCAGCGACTGTAGCAAAGGCGGCGAGGTCAGGGAAAAGGTAGGGGAGCATGAGGCGGCTAAGGGCAGCAGAGGCAGGGGAGGAGTAGCGCGCAACGACAGCATCGAACAGGGTCTTAGCGGTCTTAAACTGAGTGAAGTGCGCACGCTCAGCAGACGGCAGGTGACTACGCACAGCAAGGCGGGCAGCAGCATCGCGGGTGTTCCAGCGCGAGCGCACTGTAGCTTCAGCATCAGCATCAGAGGGGGGGGGGGAAGCACCAGACGTGAGGTCGTACAGCGAGACATCGTCTTTGCTATCACACTGCAGGAAAAGCTGCAAGTCGTCAAGCCAGACCTCAAAGTCTATCGCCCGACCCTCAGCATCGAAGGTAAGCACAGCAGGACTAGCCATGGCAGTAGGCGGAGCAGGCTAGCAGCAGCAGTAGAAGCAAGCAAGCAGGAGCAGTAGCAGTCGCAGTAGGGGCGCGGCTTGGCGATGCGCTTACCAGGGGCGGGCTGGAGAAGCCCGCAAGCAGTGGGGCAAGGCCGAGGTGCTCGAGCAGGGTCAAGGCCGCAACAGGGCGGCAGAGCAGGGCCGGGACGGCGGCGGCGGCTGCTACGGACGGCGGCGTCCGCGACGAACGGCTGCAGCTGTCACGGCAGCGGCGGCAGCTGTTACGGCAGGAGCGGCGGCGGCTGTCGTAGGTGCAGCGGCGGCAGTTGTCACGGCAGGAGTAGCGGCGGCCGGCACAGCAGCAGTGGCAGTGGTCGTCACGGCAGCAGTTGCGGCGGCGGCAGGCCGTGGCGGAAGCGGCAGCGGCAGCAGGTGCGACGGCCGCTGCTGCGGAGGCGGCGACGACGGGGCGACGGGGCGGCAGGGCGGCAGAGCCGCAGAGGGGCCGCGTAGGGGGGCCGCGAAGGGGCCGCGTAGGGGGGGGGGGGGGCGAAGGGGCTGCGAAGAGCTGCGGGCGGGCCGGGAAGTGGGGCCGCGAAGGGCCGCGAAGGGCCGCGCGAGGAGCCGCGGGCCGGCGCGCGGCGCTACAGCAGAGGCCGCGCCAAAAACCGTGGCGCGCGCGTGCTGAAAACCGTAGCGCGCGCGCGAAAAAAAAGGCAACGCGCGCTGCAGCTGAGGCGCGCGCGGGCAGTAGGCAGGGCAGGCAGTTAGGTGGGCCCAAAAATGTCTAGGTCCTAGAGACCTCCTGCTCTAGTTACCATGTTAAGAACTAAGGCAAGTATGAATGCATTAGGTCAAGCCTAGGGTACAAGACTAGGGTGCCGAGAAAGTTTGTGTACCCCCTAGTACTAACCCCCATACAGCCTAGACAACCTAAACAAACATATATATATAATTTGACATGACCAACCCTTAGGATCAGTCTTGCACATGTTCAAAAACCTGATTTTCAGTGTTACACATTGTGAAAACAGATGTGTCAGGGTTTCTGCTTGTTCTAAAAAAACTACCCTGATGCATCAGTGTAACAATTCGCCAATGGTGGGGGGGTGGGGTGGGGGTTGGCTGGCACGCTCTTCAGGGTAAACCTCGATAAGCGGAACGGCAACCCTGAGGTGACAGTGTTCCTTAATCTTAAAACCTGGCACATCAGGGTAAATCAAGGTCCCGGAAAATTTACCCAACAGCACCAGTGTTACTACAAAAAATCACCCTCATAGTCAGGGCATCAGGGTGATTTACACTGATAAAATAGGCCCTGCCGCCGACTTCTTACCGTATTTGGCAACTCACCGCCGCCAACAACTCTTCTGCTCCCTACTCTGAGATGCACCTCTTTTTTTCCTATTTGTACTTGCAAACCCTATCGTGAAACCCCTCTTATCTCTCCAAATCCCTCGACCTCCATCTCGCTACTCACGCTAGCCATGGTCTCTCCTAAGCACTAAGGGTACATTCCGCTGTGGACATGCGTCCCAATCGATGTGTCCCAATCGGGTGTACCGCACTGAATCTTATTACACCGAATTACACCCTAGTTTCAAAATTTTCGCTTCTCTGGTTTAGTGCGGTTCGGAGCGGTACACCCGATTGGGACACATCGATTGGGACGCATGTCCACAGCGGAATGTACCCTAAGTTCCAAGTCCGTTCTAGATTATAACATTCCCTCACAAGTGCGGCCATGCGCTGCTTCTCAGTGCCATTCCCGGACGAGAACATGGATGGCGCAGCATCGAATGTGCATGTGATGTCATTCTCCCTGTGCTCCACCCAGGAAACAACCCCAGCAGCAGCAGCTGCAGCCTGCTAACTCTTGTCACTGTGGGTACCACAGGAGCTGGCATCGACCAATGGGAGGCAAATAAGGGCAATAGAGACAGAAAGAGTGATGGATGCTGGTTAAAGCAAGAGCAGTGACTACATTCAAGCAACCATTTCTCCCTAACAATTACCTTAAATCCTTTCCTCCCCTTCTCCCCCTCTTCCTTCCCCGTCCCTTCAAACAAATGGAAAAGGGGCGAGTCTCACCTGCCGGGCCACTCTCGCTGTCCCACGAGCCTCAACTCCAACCTGCCAGAGCCTCAACTCCAACCTGCCAGAGCCTCAACTCCAACCTGCCAGAGCCTCAACTCCAACCTGCCAGAGCCTCAACTCCAACCTGCCAGAGCCTCAACTCCAACCTGCCAGAGCCTCAACTCCAACCTGCCAGAGCCTCAACTCCAACCTGCCAGAGCCTCAACTCCAACCTGCCAGAGCCTCAACTCCAACCTGCCAGAGCCTCAACTCCAACCTGCCAGAGCCTCAACTCCAACCTGCCAGAGCTCGTGCAGAAGCCTGTCCCAAATTGGGACTCCCAAGCCTCCCTAGCCTCGCATCAGTTGGCAACACCACCATGCCTCCAAGCTGCTCTCGCACCACCATGCCTCCAAGCTGCTCCCACCTCTCATCCCTTTTCCATGATGTGAGTGTACAGCAGCTCGTTCCATGTGTCTGGAACACCCGGTAAGCACCAGTGCAGGCAGTCCTGTTGTGCCTTGGGCGCACTGAACCGCGCATCCCAGCTGGACGGGTGAGCGTCACCACGGTACGCCGACAGGTGCGTGATGTTCAGGAGGTGTACCGTTGTTCCGAACACTCCATCCTCCTTTTCAGCATCCCTTGTTATCATTTTGGCCACCTCAGCGTCTGCAAAGGGATGCTGCCATGCAAAGATAGAACAGATCGAAATTGATACTCAAAACGAACAAAAAAACACAGCAAAAAAAAACAATGAACATGTGAGGTACCACAACGATGCACATGTAATCATTGTAAAAAGAGGTTAATATCTTACAAAATCACATAATTTCGCATGTACACGGCCATACATACCTTCAGGTAGTCACATCGCCCTCTCGAGTCCCACTCGCCCTCCCTGTAATGCCTCGGTGAAATCGATCACAGAAACACCATCGGCTTCATGTGTGGCGTTGCAAGAATGCCCGTCCTCAACTTCACACCCCCACCTGCCGCAACAGCCGGAAACTCCATAACCGAACCCAAACCCCCCCTCTCTCCCTCCCCCTCTCCCACCACCAATTGTTCCTTCCCCATCGCCTTCACCTGCGCATCAATCCACAGCGACACTGACCGTATAGCTGTCCTCAACGCCAGCGCCATGACCATTGGCCGACCTTCCACGGGCGGTGCCGGTCTCCCATTGAGATAAAACTCCAGCGCGCTCTCTTTCATCTTTCCGCGGTTCCAGTGATGCCCCGTGTTTAACACCACCACGTCTAGTTCCCTAAGAAAGTCTCTTAGGAATGTGTCGGGCCGGTCTAAGTGCATCGCCTGGCCCTGCGTCCAGTCCTCCTTATTGAGCGGCTCGATTTCGCATAAGCAAGTCGTCCAGCGAAAGATCACTGTAGTGTTGGAGGCAACGAATCGGTACGCCAGCCCGGTCGGGCGGCGGGCTCCGGGCAGCTGAAAAAAACCGTAGTCTGTGCCGACGTCTTGGGTGGGGGATGAGGGGTCGGACATGTTTTTGGGCGGGCCGTGTGGGGAGAGCAGGCAGAGCAGCGACTGGAACTGCTGCTGCCCTAGTGAGTCCCCAATAAAGGCAATGCTCTTGTTGCGCATCCTGATAGGAGAGAGAGAGGGGGGGGAATTGGGGTGTGGGGCAGGAGCAGGGGGGGAGTGTGTGAGGGAGACAGGGCGAAGAAGGGGAAGTGGAGTTTTGAAACAGGACGGGACTGTTGCTGGCCTGGCGAGTTTCCAATCAAGGCACGGCGCTTGTTGGGCATTATGAGAAGAGAGGGAGGTGGGCGGGTATGAGAGGGGGAAGGGGGAGTGTGTGGGAATCAGGAAGAGGAACTGAAGCTGGCCCAAGCAGTCACCCACACGAATCACTTAACCCCTACCCCTTTTGCACTCCTATCACACGAATCGTTCAATCCCTACCCGTTTTGCCTTCCTTTCACACATATCACTTAAACCCTATTTCTCATCGAATCACTCTCATTCCCTACCCTGTCACCTTCCTATTACACACATCACCCTCAATTCCTACCTGTCACCTTCCTCTTACACAAATCACCCTCTATCCCTACTCTTCACACTCCTTCATTCCTGTTCCCTCACAAAAAATCGCTCTGCGCTAAATCGCGATTGCACTTGTCAAACCCTTCGCACCTCAAAGATTGCCCCCTGTGGGCTTGTCACGCAGTTTACAGACACCTCAGAAAGTTTTTCATCACACCGTACTCTTTCTAACCCCATCCCATACCCTCTCAACTCCTGCAGAACTAGCACAATCACCTTCAGAAAGAACCCATCTGCTGCTCGTGCTTGCCCAATTAACCACACCTACTGCTTGAACCACCCAAACACTGTCCCACTCCCTTCCCCCCTCACCTGCCGTGAAACCATAACCCTCACTCACCTGTGAAAGAACCCCTCTGCACTGAAGCACTTCGCATTGCACCTGCGCAGTTGCTAGCAGAGGAACTCGTACCCACGCATTATAGTGCCCTCTCTCACACCACTCCCAACTCTACCCGCACTCCTCCTCACCTGCGAAAGAACCCCTATGCACTGAACCACTTCGCATTGCACCTGCGCAGTTGCTAGCAGAGGAACTCGTACCCACGCATTATAGTGCCCTCTCTCACACCACTCCCAACTCTACCCGCACTCCTCCTCACCTGCGAAAGAACCCCTCAGCGCTGAACCACTTCACATTGCACCCATGCGGCTGCCAGCGCAGGTGCTCATACGCACATGTTCTAGACCCCTCACTCCCCCCCAACTCTACCCCACTCCACCCTCACCTGCAAAATAACCCCGCCGCACTGAACCGCTTCGCGTTGCACCCGTGCGGCTGCCAGCGCAGGTGCTCGTACTTGCGCGTTTTACACCCCTCACTCTCCCCACCAACTCTACCCCACTCCCCCTCACCTGCGAAAGAACTCCGCCGCGCTGAACCTCTTCGCATCGCATTGCACCCCCGTGGCTGCCATCGCAGGCAGGCGCTCATACTCACATGTTCTACACCCCTCACTCCACCCCCAACTCTACCCGCACTCCCTCTCACCTTCTAAAGAACCCCTCAGCGCTGAACCGCTTCGTGCTGCACCCGTGCGGCTGCCAGCGCAGGTGCTCGTACTCCCTCATCTCGCGCGGGCGGCTGCTGCGTGCGCACGCCCACTTGGTGAACACCCACCCGCACGCCCACTTGGTGAACACCCACCCGCACGCCCACTTAGTAAACACCCACCCGCACGCCTCCCCCTCACCTGCGAAAGAAGCCCTCTGCGCTGAAGCGCGTCACGTTACACCCTTTGGGCTGCCACCGCAGGCGCTAGAACTCCATCATCTCGCGCGGGCGGCTGCTGCGTGCGCACGCCCACTTGGTGAACACCCACCCGCACGCCTCCCCTGTGTACAGTGGCGCCTGCTGAGTGCGCACCCACCGCCCTTGGTACAGGTCGCACAGCGGGCCGGTGGGGGCGGTTGGGTGTGCGGAGGCGGCAGGGAGACTTGCAATGCTATCACTGGCTTCAGTTAAACCCCCATTTGCGTCCCCGCCGCTTGTGTCACTACTGTTACTGTTACTGCCAGGAGAATTTCCAGCTTCGCTTCCATGAGTTTCTGGCCTATGTGGGCTGAATAGCCCTTCTGCAGAACTGCTAGATAGTACCGGTACCGAGGCAGCTCTTAGAGAGGACTGAGGCGACTGCACCACTCCAAGCTGGCTGGTTGGATCGCCTTGTTGGCTACGCGGGGAGGCTCCGTGATTGTATGTGCTCGAGAAGTGACTATAAGAGGATGAGGAGGCGGATGCGTTGTCTAGAATGGCGAATTGGCTTCTCTTCCACCCTGTATTGAGATAGAGAGGGATGGGGGAGAGGGATGGGGGAGAGGGATGGGGGAGAGGGATGGGGAAGAGGGATGGGGGAGAGGGATGGGGGAGAGGGATGGGGAGAGGGATGGGGGAGAGGGATGGGGAGAGGGATGGGGGAGAGGGATGGGGGAGAGGGATGGGGAGAGGGATGGGGGAGAGGGATGGGGAGAGGGATGGGGGAGAGGGATGGGGGAGAGGGATGGGGAGAGGGATGGGGAGAGGGATGGGGGAAAGGGATGGAGGAGAGGGATGGTGAGAGGGATCGGGGAGAGGGATGGGGGAGAGGGATGGAGGAGAGGGATGGTGAGAGGGATGGAAGAGAGGGATGGGGGAGAGGGATGGGGGAGAGGGATGGGGGGGGGAGGGGGATGGGAGAGAGGGACGGGGAGAGGGAAAAGGAGATTGGATGGGGATAAGGGAGGAAGGAAAGATAAGGAGGAAGCTGAGGGATGCAAAAGGGGCGAGGGAGAGAAAGGACGGAGATGGATGATGGAGAATGATGAAGGATGAGGGAGGACGGAGAGGGATGAGAAAGAGGGATGAAAGGGAGGATGAAGGAGAGGGTTTGGGGAGAGGAATGGGGGAAGCATGGGGAAGAGGGAGAGGATGGAAAGAGTTGGAGGAAACAGCGGGATGAGGGTGAGGGAAGAAGGAGGACGGAACATTCTTAGGAGATAGAAGGCGAGAGCGAGCGTGTGGGGAGGGGAGAGGGAAGTAGAGGCGAGCGACGGGGAGTGGGCGAGAAGTGGGTGGTATGGACGGAGAGAGATGGTGGAGGAAAGCGATAGAAAATCATGAAGAGAGAACTGGAAACAGATAAAAGCTAAGAGTGCATAAATTGCTCATAATCCACACCGAATTACTTAGCTCCCAATTTCCCATAACGCCACTGTCGTAAGCACACATGCATGCATAGTATCCACTGGATACCAGGTTGCTGGTGGATTTCTTGGGAAGAAATACTCACACATCCTGCGATGGCTGCTATGAAACGAGTCCCGCATCGCAAGGCCCACAACGGTTAGCAGCACCACCAGCGCCGCTGAACGACTCGCATGCCACCGCGCCCCTCCGCTAATCCCCGCGCCGCCTGCCTTGCCACCGCCCATGGCCGCTAGCAGAGCCGAGAGGGAGCGTGAGCGTGATCGGGATCGGTTGGAAGGGGTGCTGAGAGGTGAGGCGCTGGGAACATTCCCGCTGACAGTGGCAGGGCAACCGCATTACACGGAGCAAGCACGAATGGAGGATAAGAAGAAGTACATTCCTGAGTCGACTCAGAAAGCAGGAACGGATTATGAGGATACGGGGCTTTCCAGTTGACAGGTTTCCACCAATGAATGAGGGAAGCGATGATCAAGCGCACTACCGTACCTGAGTCACACTGTGCGAACGCACCTGACGGCTGTCGCATATGCGAACGCACCTGACGGCTGTCGCAAATGCAAACGCACCTGACGGCTGTCGCATGTGCGAACGCACCTGACAGCCATTGCATGTGCGCAACTCCCAAAAGCCTCGCTAGGAGCCGACGCCACCGGCACTGATATCGCGGACGGTCGGGATCGCGCCGATGAGGAGGCCGCCTCCATCTCATCGACTCCTGAAGCGACAACAGAACGAGTTCAGGGGGTGAACTGCAGTTGGCAACGCGACTAGGCCACTACAACTGGCGCGGCGAGGCGCCGAGCAGCGGCCTGATGGGGGGAGGCCGCGAGAAGGGGATTGATGGGGGGAGGCCGCGAGCAGCGGATTGATGGGGGAGGCCGCGAGCAGCGGATTGATGGGGGGAGGCCGCGAGAAGCAGATTGATGGGGGGAGGCCGCGAGCAGCGGATTGATGGGGGGAGGCCGCGAGCAGCGGATTGATGGGGGGAGGCCGCGAGCAGCGGATTGATGGGGGGAGGCCGCGAGCAGCGGATTGATGGGGGGAGGCGACGAGGCCGCGAGAAGGGGCTTTACGGGGGGAGGCGACGCGGCCGCTATGGAAAGTGTGGCGAGCTGGCACGGAGAGGCGAGGTGAGGCAGTGATGGGCGCGTGACCGAGGATTAAAGCGCGATCGCAACCCTAGGCGATGGCGGACCGGATGTCGCACTAAATCTACGATTGGCGCTACGATCGGAAGCGAACTAGTGGCTTTCTCGTGAGAAATCTATGGAGTACAGATGAGGGATTGTGCTACGATGGAGCTGGGTAGGAAATGGGTGTACGATGGATTTTCCAGCAGGGCTCATGACTCACTTGAGATGTGGGGGATTTGTGAATCTCGTGGATGAGGTCAGGTTGTAATCGGGTAACCTGGTTGGTCAGCTTCAGAAACAATCCCCGTGGATCAATCGGAGCCCAGCAATGTGGGGTTGGGGAAGGTGCTGGGAGCAGGGGCTGACGTGAACGGCCAAGCAATCCCAGCCACTCGTCTTTTGCCCGAGGGAGTGCTAGAAAAACAAGCACACACGTCAATCCCGAGGGAGAACGAGTATGGCGGTAGCCCATGTCAGCACAGGGATTGGTGCTTGCGTCTCGCGGATGAAGCGTTGAGTCGCGGTTTAAAGCGATGAAACTTAGAAACCTCTCTCTATTGCACAACACCGTATTAAACCGTAGAAACTGAACATAAATGTACCTGCCCTGGCCCATCTTCGGTGTTACTCGTTCGTGTCACGAATCTTCCCCGCCTCGCACTTTCACGATTTGCGGGGCTTGTGCACATGCAATAGAATGGGACAACATCAGCTGCAATCCAATTAGGCCAGCGCGGTTCGCAAATGCGATCCCTAACAGTCCCCCTGGAAGAAGCTGATGGTCGTAATCTGCCCGCGGTCAGAAAAAAATAAACCCCATCTGGATGGCATGCGATTAGGGGAGCCCCAACCCTAAACACGGGGAGCCCCAACCCTAAACACGGGTAGCCGCATGGTTCTGCCCGAAAAGATTGCATTTGCAAACCCGCACTGGGAAAATGAGATCGCAGTTCGAATTGTCCGTAATAGAATTGGTCATTATCATGCTTCTAGTCTCAAGCACCCGCACTAGACGCGCACATTGCGTTGTGGCAAGGAAGGGTTGCGGGATAGACTGTTTCGGGTGCGGGCAGAGAATCGTATGCAAGACACTGGCAGCACGATATTTCCCCGCAGTCGTCTCCGCGATCCGTCCGCGGAACTGCAGCTGCGCCAGCGAGCTCTGCGACTCGCGAGGAATGCTCGCGCAAGCGCGTTGACCACCCGTTGACCCTTGCGTGACCCGCATATTGACCCGCGCGTTGACTCATGGCTTCCATCCGACTCCTTGAAGCGAAGCTCACTCAAATGACCTGAGGGATACCTAAGCGCTTAATCTTAATCTGTACGCAACGCGATGGTTTTAGTTATTAAATGACGTTAATTATGGCATTCGATCGCATAGCAGCGCAGCTGTTAGCGAGGATATCCAGCATATCGCACCCAATCCATCCTTGCTCGAGCGCAACCGCCGCGACGCCTCTCCTCATCTTCGAGTAACCCGCAGTCGACGCACGTCCACAGCCGGCAAAGTAACCCGTAGCCGGCAAAGTAACCCGTAGCCGGCAATCGCCAACCCGCGCCATGGTTCCGCTGCTCATCTGCCTGGTGTGCCTCATGGGCGGGTGCATGTGGTGGCTGTGCCGGCGCTGCCTGCACTCCGGCACCACCGCCAGCAAGGACTGGCCGCCCGCCACCTACGACGAGTTTAAAGACGTCCCTAGAATCTGCCGCATCCTGCTGTCCGTGTACGAGGAGGATATCACCAACCCGGTCTACAACGACCGGTTGATAGTTAAAGACGTCGCGCGGCTCGCGGGGTACAAGGACACGCAGGGCAAGTGCCCGCCGTACGTGATCTACGTGGACCACGCGGCGCGCGACATCTGCCTCGCGGTGCGCGGGCTGAACATGGCCAACTTCGCCGACTATCGCGTGCTCATGGACAACCGCATGGGCAAACAGCGCTTCGACGGCGGCTACGTGCATCACGGGCTGCTCAAATCCGCCGCGTGGCTGCTCGATCAGGAGATGGAGACGCTAAACGCGCTCGCCGCGGAAAACCCGGAGTATACGGTGACGCTCGCGGGGCATTCGCTGGGGAGCGGGATTGTCGCGATGATGACGGTGATTCTGCATAAGAACCCCGACGAGGTGGGGTTTGATAACTCGCGCCTGCGGTGTTTCTGCATCGCGCCCGCGCGATCCACGTCGCTTAATCTGGCGATTAAGTACGCTGACATCATCAACTCTGTCGTCTTGCAGGTGAGCTGACGACATTGGTTTGTGAACCCTGCGCACCCAGGCCTTTTGCCTGGCCTCCCATTATCGTTCCATTCCCCTCTCTCCTCTGCTCCTTCCTCCACACCGTCTCCTCTGCTCTCCTCCCCCTCTTCCCCTCCCCTTCCCCCCTCCTCCTTCCCCCCTCTCCCCGCGCACGTCATTTCCCCTGGCCGTCCCCGCAGGACGACTTCCTTCCGCGCACGTCAGCGCCCATCGATAACATTCTCGCGCTCTCCTTCTGGTACGCCCAAAATCCCTCTGCTACGGCCCCGTTCTTCTGCTAGGCCCCCACCTCCCCTCCATCTCCTTCCCTCACGCTCCCTCGCGCTCCTTCCCCCCTCCTCTCCTCACGCTACTTCCCTCTACCTCCTCCCCCCTCTCCTCCCCTCCCTCTCCTCTCACTCTCCTTCCTTTATCTCCTCCTTCACTCTCCGTCCTCAACCCGTGCCTTAATCCCAGCCTCCCGTGCATGCTGTGTGTGAAATGCTGCTTGTGAGCCTTCGGAGCTTCCCATCCCTGCCGCGCCTTCCCCCCTCTTCCCTCAGTCTGCCCTGCATGCTGTGCGTCAAGTGCTGCTTGTGAGTCTTCAGGCCAACCCACCCATGCCACCCCGGCCCCCCACCTCCCAGTCTGCCCTGCATGTTGTGCGTCAAGTGCTGTTGGGACACGTGTGGTTGCTACAAGCGTCGAGTGAAGGACCCTCGCCGCCTCTACGCGCCCGGGCGCCTTTTCCACATCCTCTACACCTCCGACTTCAGGTGAGACCGACTTCTGGTGAGGCACTGGGCGAGGCACTGGGCGAGGCACTGGGCGAGGCACTGCTTCCGCTTTCTCTGCCCGCTCTGCACTGCGCGGTTGCTAGCTTCAGGTAAGAATTGTCAGTGCTGCGCTGGTGGTGCGTGGGGGCAGGTGCAGTGATGCGTGGGGGCAGGTGCAGTGATGCGTGGGGGCAGGTGCAGTGATGCGTGGGCGAAGGTGCAGTGATGGTGTACCTCTGCTGCTCGTGTATCGCGCGGCCACTGTGGTATATTCCTCCCATCTGGACTGCATCCCACTGCTCCTGCTGTTATTTGTAAGTGAACCGCCTGACAGTCTCTCTCTCCAATACCCGCTCTTGCCTTCCCCTCCTCATTCACTCTCCTTCGCCCCGCATGTGTCCCCCCACTTCTTCCCACCATGTCAATAGAGGAGCATTTGAGAAGTAACATGCCTGCCACTCCCTCCTTCGTTCCCCACCCTCTTTCCTTCGACCTGCATGCGCCCTCTCTCTCCCAGCTGCAAGGAGGAGGAGCAGCAGGTGAAGACCGCCGTGTCCGTGGAGGACCAATTTGTCAAGTAACCTGTCTGCTACTCTTTCCTCCCTCGTCCCCCCTTCCCCCAACCCGTCTCCTTCAACCTGTGTGCGGCCCCTCTCCCCCAGCTGCAAGGAGGAGGAGCCGCAGGTGAAGACGGCTGTGCCCGTGGAAGACCGCTTCGAGAAGGTGGTGCTGTCGCGCACGGCCATCGACGACCATTCGATCGTCGTCATCGAGCGGCGATCAACGGTTGCTGTGGAATCCCTGGAGCTCCGTGAGCAGGAGGAGCAGGAGGAGGAGGAGAAAGCCCCCCCCGAGCAGCAGCGCATGAAGCGCTCGTCCACCATGAAGGAGCGCCAGCAGCAGTACGCCCAGGCGCTTGAACGCGCCCTCACCCTGCACGTGCCTGATGCTGCCAGCGCTGATGAGATCCGGCAGCTGGTGGCTGCTGCTGAGGCAAGGGAGGAGGGGGTGAGTGAGGGGAAGGTGCAGGGGCGCAGGGCGGATGGGATGGGCGAGAAGGGAGAGAAGGGAGAGAAGGGGGGGAAGGTAGAGGGGAAGGAGAAATCAGAAACGATTGCACCTTCGCCAACAGCAGCAGCAGCGGCAGGGGCAGGGGCAGCGGCAGCAGGGGCAGGGGCAGGGGCAGGGGCAGGGGCAGCGGCAGGGGCAGGGGCAGTTGTTTCTGCTGTGGCGATGGGAGGTAGTAAGGACGCAGAGAGGAAGAAGGATGAGGACGAGATAAGTGAGAGGAGTGGGAAGAGCGAGACGCTGTCTGAGTTCTGGCAGAAGGAGCTAGAGGAGTTTCGGGAGAAGGAGAGACAGGCTCTGCTGGAAGAAGAGAGGAAAGCCGAAGAGCGCGTGAGGCAGTTCGAGGAGCAGAGCCGCGCAGACAAGGCAGAGAAGGCGGAGAAGCGCCGAGCAGAACAGGCGGGAGGAGGGGAGGAGGGTGGAGATGAGGAGGAAGAAAAGGGTGAGGCGGAGAGTCTATCAGACTACTGGAGCAAGGAGCTGGCGGCGCTGCGGCGGCGAGAGGAGATAGCGATGGCGGAGAGGGAGGCCCAGGCAGCTGAACGCATCTGCGCGTTTGAGGAGAGGCGGCGGGCGGAAAGGGCGAAGAGGGCCGAGGAGGAGGAGGCTGCTGAGCGGCTTTCGGAGTTCTGGGGAAGGGAGATGGATGGGGAGAAGGGGGAGGGGGAGTGGGCGGAGAGGGAGGTGGAGGGGGAGGGGGATGTGGGCGTGGGTGGGAAGGAGGGTGGTGATGGTGCCGTGTCTGCCACAGCGCCTGCTGCTGCTGCTGCTGCTGCTGCTGCTTTTGCTGCTGCTGGTGCTCGTGCTCGTTCCTCCTCCTGCTGCTGCTGCTGCTCCTGCTGCTGTTGCTGCTGCTGCTGCTGCTGCCACTGCTTCTGGTGCTGCTACTGGTGCTGTTACTGCCACAGGAGGGGATGTGGTGGTGGAGTTGGGCAATGGGGCGGGGGGAGGCCCGGCACATGTGGCTATCCAAGTGGATGGAACTGCAGCCACACCTCTCACCGCACCGTCACCTGCCCCTGCCCCTGCCCCTGCTGCACCTGTGGCTGGGGCCAAGGAGGAGAAGAGCGAGGGAGAGCGGGAGGGGCAGCAGCAGAGGCAGGCACAGCTGGGGCGGGCTTTAACAACCGCCCCGCAGCAGCAGATGGTGGAGCCCGCAGCAGCACGGCAGCAGATGGCGCGTGCGGTCACTGTAGGTTCGGGGCGAGAGGAAGCAGCAGCGGCGAGGCTGTCTGCAGGAGGGGGAGCGGCAGGGGGGGGGCTCTATGGAGGGGGGGGGACAGCAGGGGGCCTGTCAGTGAGGCAGAAGTGGGCGCGCATAGTGGATGAGCTGATAGACGCGGGGGAGGGGGAGGTGCATGGGGGCACACGAGACGCCGCCGAGGCTCAGCTTCGGGAGGTGGAGAGGATCGGCAGGCAGCAGTGGAACAAGGCTCGGGCGGCGTTGCTGTCAGGGGTGGGGAGCTTTTCGAAGAAGGTTGGGATGAACATCGAGATCTGACCGAGCAGAATGACGTGGCGCATGGTGCTGACGTGGAACTTAGTGCTGATGCGAAACTGGGTGCTGATGTGGCGCTTGGTGCTGGCTGGTTGATGGGTGTTCTCCCAAGGGCGAATGCCGGTAGCAGGAGCAACCCACACTCACTCTGCTGGCCATGGCAGCACTAGTGATTGCTCCCCAAGAAGCTTGTGTCTCAGTGTAGTGTACGTAGGTGGTACTTACGACTCCAATGCTTCAACACCGCGACTGCCTCTCTTTGCATGCATGCCTTACCTGGGCGTACCAGTGGTACTAGTACTCCTAAGAGCAAGCGGCCGGTGGTACCGTAGGTGGAATGAATGGCGTCGAATGAAGGTCTTCCAGGGCGAGTGGTTGACCTCTAGGCTGCAGTGTGCATTCAGACCCCGCTATCACATGCCGTTAGGTGGACTAGAGTCTAGACTAGACTAACCAGGTGAGGCCCTTCAAAAAGTGGTGTGTATTCAGTGGCAGGCAGGAGCATCACATGTGCTGCGTTGTGTAGCAGCTGGCCAGACCAGCATGGATTGCACAGCATGGCAAGCAAATCAAGGTTGCACTGTAGTTCTCCCCTGCGTCATGGCAATGTGTACGTGCAATGATGTGTTTGTGTGTGGTGCAGTGTGGTGTGGCGTGGTGCATGGCATCGCCATGGTCTATTCACCATGCATACAGCAGACAGCAGAGCAGGCTGGAAAGACAGCAAGGGAAGCGGAGGGGAAAGAGGAATGGAGCGAAGTAAAAGGCAGAACACGGGGGACAGGGAGCCATGGAGGCAAAACATGCGGAAAGGGAATGGAGCCAAACAGGAAGAAGATGGAGGGCACGGGAACGTGGGGGGCGTGGGGGGCGTGGGGGACGTGGGGGACGTGGGGGACGTGGGGGCCGTGGGGGCCGTGGGGACCGTGGGGGTATGGGGGAGCCAGGGGCACGATCCAAGCGCACTAACACAGTGCACCATGCCCGCATGGCATTTTGGACAATGGCAAAATATGTCGAGTGCAAAGTACATGTAACTTGGTGCAGTGGTCTAGCCACAAGATTCAAAGCAGAACGCAGGAATGACAGAAACGAGGAATCCTGTAAGAAGCACAAGTAGTACCGTAGTACTATCATCGAGCAGAGCAACAAAAGCAGCTGCAATGGCCATTGAATGCAAACAAACGTTGCCCAAGACCTTCAAAATCTTCAAAATCTTCAAAATCTTCAAAATCTTCAAAATCTTAAAGATTGTGCAAAAAGGCCGGCAGAGCTGCAAGCTGGGCGGCAGATAGAGCTTGAAGCCGGGCGACCATGGCTCGAAGGTTCAGGCGGGGCGACCATGGCTCGAAGGTTCAGGCGGGGCGACCATGGCTCGAAGGTTCAGGCGGGGCGACCATGGCTCGAAGGTTCAGGCGGGGCGGAAGAGCTTGCGGTCGCGCAGACCATTCCAGAACTCCCTGGCTGTCATTGGTCGCTTGCTGTCTGGCTGCACCTCCAGCACCTGCCATGCATGCACGTGCGGTGTGGGAGGTAGATGCGGGTGGGGGACGCAGGGTGGGGGATGCAGGGTGGGGGATGCATGGTGGGGGATGCAGGGTGGGGGAGTGTAACGGAGGGAGATGTAAGGGAAGAAATGCAGTGGAGGGGATATGCATGAGAGTGAATGCACTGCTACTGTACAGCGGGCACTTGCCCTCTGGATGGCATGAAGGTGAGAATGGCATGAAGGAGGCATGCACGTGTGGAGGGAGGGTGACGGCACAGAGACATGCACTGCCCGGGCAGCATGGCTGAGCGGCCACTGCGTGGGCATGCATCCACCATGCACTCACCCCCACCACTCACCCCCACCACTCACCTCGACCAAGTGGAAAGAGAGGAGCACGCACCTCGAGCACGGATCCATCGTCGCACGGAACGAGCATGGCGTGCCCCTCCAGGCGCACCTCCTCCACCTCCAGTGGAGAGTAGAGAGGAGAGCACCCACCTCAAGCACTCACTTCAACCACCTACCTCGAGCACAGAACCATCGTCGCAGGGAACGAACATGGCCTGCCCCGCCAGCCGCACCTCCTCCACCTCCTCCGGTGCCACGGCGGGGTCAGGCGGGGCGGAGGAGGGGGCGGCGGGGCGGGGCTTGGTGCGCAGCAGCTTGAGGGAGACGTTGTCCACGTCGCCCGTGGCTGCGTCCTTGGTTATGAACGAGGCTCGCGTGCCGGGCCAGGGCGCGAATGCCCGAACCTGGATGTGAGGTTTGGGTAAGAGGGAGGGGTGGAGGAGTGAGCGGAGATGGAGCAATGGGGAGGGGTGGAAGGGAAGAGAGTGGGTGAGAGGGCGAGGGGCTGAAGGCATGTGGTACTGTGATGGCATGTGGTGCTGTGATGGCATGTGGTGCTGTGATGGCATGTGGTGATGGCATGGCATGTGGTGATGTGATGGCATGTGGTACTGTGATGGCATGTGGTGCTGTGATGGCATGTGGTGATGTGATGGCATGTGGTCATGTGATGGCATGTGGCGCTGTGATGGCATGTGGTGCTGTGATGGCATGTGGTGCTGTGTTGTGAAGGCGGCACCTTGTTGTGCAGTGTGAGGGCGGGCAGAGAGAAGTCGAGGATGCCCTCCTCTGCTGCCACCTGCCATGAGAGGATGATTAGTGAGGGGATTAGTGCAAGGTGCGGCATGCAGCGAGGTGCAGTAACGAGGGGAACACCGGAACCCTTGCCTCTGCTGCCACCCGCCATGAGGGAACACAGTGAAGGGTGGCTGCACGACGGCAATGAGAGAACTCGTGCATGGTGTGGTGATGTCATCAGATGCTGCTGCACGCACAAGCAGACTCTACTCGAATTCTGCAATGCAATGAGTCAAATAAAACACAAGACCATGCCGCGATAGAGATCGCATGCAAGCCCGTGCACTGTGGCGCCCCGCTCTAAGTTGCGGAACGCCCCGCTCTAAGTTGCGGAACGCCCCGCTCTAAGTTGCGGAACGCCCCGCTCTAAGTTGCGGAACGCCCCGCTCTAAGTTGCGGAACGCCCCGCTCTAAGTTGCGGAACGCCCCGCTCTAAGTTGCGGAACGCCCCGCCGGCCCCACCTTGGGGGCGTGGGTGGCTTGGGAGTCGTCTTGCGGCGTGGCAGAGGCAGCAGCAGAGCCATCCAGCACAGAGGGCAGGTGCTGCAGTAGCAGGTGCGTGCCTGGGGGGGGGGGTTCAGATGGGAGTGAGGGGATGGGGGGTTGTGGGTGAGAGGAGAGATGGATTTATGTTGTGTGCGAACTTAAGCTGTCCCGTGCAGTGGTGCTCAAGTGGTGCGCTCAAGTGGTGCTGAAGTGGTGCTGCCGTGGTGCTGCCGTGGTGCTGCAGTGGGCTTTAGGCGTAGGAGGGGAGAGGGACGGGGAAGTGAGGAGTGTTTGGAGGATGGCACAGCACAGCACGGCACGGCACGGCACGGCACGGCACGGCACGGCACGGCACGGCACAGACAGCACAGCACCGCACAGCACCGCACGATCCTTGCAGAGGCCAGTAATGGGGTGTGGCAATGGCTTAGTAGTGTGGCGAGGCAAGGTGGGGGCCTTGGAGGGCGAGGAAAGGTGGGGTGCAGGCAGCGCGTGCAGGCAGCGCGTGCAGGCAGCGCGTGAAAGCAGTGAGTGCAAGCAGTGAGAGCAAGCAGCAAGCAGCGAGTGCAAGCAGCGAGTGCAGGCATTCAAGAGGCACCTCGATGGAAGAGGTCGTTCAAGAGTTGAGGCGCTTGAATGTCATCCGTCACCGCCATCCCCTCCTGTGCTTGGCAGTGGTAGGCGCGGCAAGGTGCAGGCAGGCTGTGCGTTGGCCAGTAAAGGTACCTCGATGGAAGAGGTCGTTGAGCAGTGCGGGTGCTTGAATGTCATCCGTCACAGCCACCCTCTCCTGTGCGATGATGGGGCCTGCGTCCATCTGCAAGACTGTGTACGCCACTGTCACCCCCGTCTCCCTCACCCCTTGCTGGAGGAGGGGGGAGAGGAGAGGGAACACAACACATAGAAAATGCACGGGAGTGAGGTGGTCGAAAGGACTAGCAATTCGAGATGGATGGATGGATTGCCGTGGTAAGGAGAAAGAACAAGGATGCTCTGAATTGCGTTCCGAGGTTCAGCACCGTACACCTTCCACCATCCACCACCATCCAAACCGTCCAACACCTTCCAACACCGTCCAACACCGTCCACCACCTTCCAACACCGTCCAACACCGTCCACCACCTTCCAACACCGTCCAACACCTTCCAACACCGTCCAACACCTTCCAACACCGTCCAACACCTTCCAAAACTGTGCTCGGAACAGAAATTTGAAAGGTTGAGATATTTGCCAGGAGGGAGGGAGGCGTATCTGGAAAAAAAGAGAGAAGAACGAACTTTTAGTGCCTCCTGGAACCTTCATCGTCCCATCCTGCCTCCACTCTCCCTCGCCACTTCCCATCTCTTCCTCAATCCAACTGGCCCATACCCACCTCACCTCCACAGCCCCCTGCTCACCTCCAGAGCTCGCTGCACAGGCGACGCTCCTCTGAACTTGGGGAGCAGGCTGGGGTGAATGTTCACAGTGCCTGCTCATGAATGGGGGTGAATGTTCACAGTGCCTGCTCATGAATGGGGGTGAATGTTCACAGTGCCTGATCATGAATGGGGGTGAATGTTCACAGTGCCTGCTCATGAATGAAGGTGAATGTTCACAGTGCCTGATCATGAATGGGGGTGAATGTTCACAGTGCCTGCTCATGAATGGGGGTGAATGTTCACATTGCCTGCTCATGAATGGGGGTGAATGTTCACAATGCCTGCTTTTGAATGAAAGCGAGTGTCCACTAGCAAGACACACAACTCACAGCCTCGATTATTGCGTAACCCTCACAACACAAGAGCTTGCATGGAGAGTGAGAGTGTCGTGGAGGAGGGGCGAGGCGAGTGGAAGAGAGCGCAAGAGAGCTCAAGAGAAAGGGACAGATGGGTGGATGCACGTGCTCACCTTGGAGCGGGATGGAGAGGAAGGAAGACGGGAGGAAGTTTCCATATGCTGCAGTGACGCACACGTCTGGCTGCAGGTGCTTCAGCGCCTCCAGAAACGCGGGCTGGGGGTGCGTGGGGGTCGTGGGGTTGGGGCGAGGGGTAAGATGCGCGCAAGGGACATTTGGGTCCACTCAGAAAAGTCACCTCGTCTCGTTGCAGGTGCTTCAGCGCCTCCAGAAAGGCGGGCTGGCAGTGCGTGGGGGGGAGGACATGAGTCACGGGGTTGGGGTTGGGGCGAGGGGGGAGATGGCGGAAAGGGGGCAATGAAGATTGATAAAGTGGGCAGGCATGAGGCGTTAGAAGAGAAAACGTGTGTGAGGGGAGGAGGGTGAGAGGAAGGGGTCCTTGAGTCTTGAAAAGCACAAAGTCAGTCGTACTAACGAGGAAGCGAGGCAAGGAGATTTGCGAAAAATGCCAACAAAATTATAGGAGGGACAGGAAAAAGGACAGGAGTAACAGGGCAGCGGATGAGGGCAGCGGATGAGGGGGACAACAAGACGCACATCGCGAGCCGTGGCGGGCGAGAGGATGCGGTCGGCTGGCAGGCCGCGCTCTGCTGCCAGCTGTCCCACGGCGGTCGGCTGCAGCTGTCCTTTAGTGCGCCCCCTGCCCCGGCTGGACGGCGGCTGCGTCACCACCGCCGCCACCTGCAGCATGAGCGAGCATGGGGGATAAGAGGGGGGAAGGGCGGGCGGAGGAAAGGGGAAAGAGTTGCAACTGATGTGGGAAGCAGGGAAAGTGACCTCTGCCACCACCTGGTGGGGTGAGCGCGCATGGGGAATAAGGGCGGGAGGGCGGGGAAACGGGCGGGGAAGACGGGCGGGGAAGACGGGCGGGGAAGAGGTAGACGGTGGGGATAAGGAAAGCGGAAAGAGTTGCGAATGCCGTGGAAAGCAGAGAAAGTGGGTGGTGGGAAGAGGCAACAGTGTAGCGGGAGAAGCGGGTGGGGGAGGCAGCTTGCGAGGTGATGTGATGCCATGGGGAAGGTGTAGCAGGCGGGGTGTGGCAGGAAGCAGAGGTAACGCATGGGGGCAACATGGGAGAAGCAAGGGGGGAAGCAGGAAGCAAGTCAGAGTGCAGTATCCACCAGTGATGGCACACCGATGCACGCCGCGCATGGGAGCAGCCCTTTCGCTGTCGAGCATTGGCCCTTCCTACGTGTTCGCCTGCCCATTAGCCTACCCATTAGCCTACCCATTAGCCTGCCCTTTTAGTCTGCCCGATAGCCTGCCCGTTAGCCTGCCCGTTAGCCAGCCCGATAGCCTGCCCGATAGCCTGCCTATGAGCGGGTACGCACTGACCTCAAAGAGCGAGTGCGGCTGCTGAGCCGCGTCTAGCAGTCGGCCCAACACCCCCGCCGCCACCTGTGCGCGCAGGAGAGGGGAGGGGTGGGGGAGAGAAAGGCTGGGGATGTGGAGGGGAGCGGTGAGTTCAACACTCCCGCTGCCACCTGCACGAGGGGGCGGGGAAGTGGGGACGTGGGGAGGCAGGGAATGGGGAGGAGGGGATGACGAGAGGTGGGGAGGAGGGGAGGAGGAGAGGTGGGGAGGGGGTGAGGAGGGGAGGTGGGGAGGGGGGGAGAAGGGGAGGTAAGGAGGAGGGGAGGGGGAGAGGTGGGGATGAGGGGAGGAGGAGAGGTGGGGAGGAGGGGAGGAGAAGAGGTGGGAGGAGGGGAGGCAGCAAGGAGGCGAGGAGGGGAGGAAGGGAGGCAAGGAGGGGCGGAGGAGAGGTGGGGAGGACGGGAGGCAGGGAGGAGGGGAGGAGGGGAGGAGGGGAGGCAGGGTAGGGGGAAGGGGGGAAGGGGGGAAGGAGGGCGCAAAGGAGTAGAACGAAGCGGGGATTGGCTGGGGTGAAGCGGGGATGTGGGGCGCACGAAGACACTGCGAAGCGGCGAACATGGCGGGGGAAATGAGGGGCGCGGAGAAGAGGCGTGCGGTGGGATGATGGCGCAGAAGACAGGCGCGCTGGGGACGGCGCAGAGGAGAGGCGCGCGGTGGAATGGCGCGGAGGAGAGGCGCGCGGTGGAATGGCGCGGAGGAGAGGCGCGCGGAGGGATGGCGCGGAGGAGAGGCGCGCGGGGGGATGGCGCGGAGGAGAGGCGCGCGGTGGGATGGCGCGGAGGAGAGGCGCGCGGGGGGATGGCGCGGAGGAGAGGCGCGCGGTGGGATGGCGCGGAGGAGAGGCGCGCGGTGGGATGGCGCAGAGCAGAGGCGCGCGGTGGGATGGCGCAGAGCAGAGGCGCGTGTGACACGTTGGGAGTTGGGTTGCCGCTTAGGAGAGGCACATGGTGGGATGGCGCGGAGGAGAAGAGGCGAGGAGAGGAAGGGAAGCGGTGCACCGACGTGCAGTGAGCAGCAGCGCAATGAGGCGGCGCGCCGCTGCACACTTTGCCGCCCAGCAATCGCTGCCTCGGTTCTACCTCGGCCGACCCACCTCGGGCGACCCGAGAAACACAAGCTTCTTCTTGTCCCCGCTAGAGGAGCCCCCGCTTTGCGCGCTACAGACGAATCGACGGTGGCGTCCAGCCGGCACGAGGAGAAGCTCGACGGGCAGCGCGAGAGGGCGACTCGACAGCCATCTGAAGCCGCTGGATACGCGCGTCAATGGCATGGGGCAAAGTATTGTCGGCTGCATTATCGATCTTACGCAGGGGAGATTCTACGGGATCTGTAGGTACTTGGATGAAATTGAATCCCAAGAATCTCCGAGCAATAATCTAGGAAGTGCCAGCAAACAGCCAGGATGGGAGTTTCCGAAAGAGGTCCTTGGGGAAGCTTCTGGAAGAATGTGTCGCGACTCTTGACGAGCTCGTGAGGCCCGTAACCACATTTCGGCGGCAACTCCTACAGTTTGACGAAATAATTCGTTGATGCAAGCTGGTGCTACTAGCGTGGAACTTTCAGGGCAGCCATGGATACTGTCAATGGAACTTTCAGCTGCTCCGATAGCCTCAATGCCAAAGTATGAAACATACAGCCACATCCAACTCCACCGTAGCATTCGTCTTGTAAACCTTTTTAACTCCACTAAAGATCATTATTCATATGTAGATTTTAAAACAAAAAAGAAACGCTTATATGAAAATCAAAAGGTTCTCAATCTCATATACTTGTGATGCATTCTTCATAAAGAAAAAATTCTAGTGAGTTAACACCACAAGAGGACCAATATGATGGCACCAGGGCCTCTGATTTCAGCGAAAAGCCGGCGGCCCAAATTGCACAAGCTTTTAAAAGTTGAAGCGTGGGGTTTTTCTGGTCTGGGTTTAGGCGAGTGATTCCCGATATCGTTTTTTTCGTTAGTTTTGCCAAAACCAGCACTCCCTCATATTTCGCCCTGCGGGTTGGGTCTGTCCCTGAAAGTCCCAAATTGCAAGTGCAAAGGTTGCACAGTGCACTTCGTCAAGTTTTAAAAGCTTGACATGCGCGGCCCGCAATTTGGGCAGCGTGCTTTAAGGGTTGAAAGGATGAATTTCCAGACATGGGGCGGATGTTGGGGCTAAATTTCCAGTTTTTCTTTTATTATTGTGATTAAGGGTACATTTCGCTGTGGACACTGTCCCAAAGAAAATGTCCCAATCACAATTGGCCCAAGTCGCCCTCAAAGGTCTCGAGTCGGATGTCCCAATCGACAGATGTATTGCGACTCTGCACAGACGCGCGACAATTATATGCGACCGATTGTGATTGGTCAGATCATAATATGGCCCACTCGTCCTTGCGCGTCACATGCACCAACACCGCCAAGCCTGTCGTAGAGCCTTCGTGATGTCTGGGGAGGCCGCGGAGGGTACAGTACTCCTCCGCGCTGCCAATAATTACCACAACGAATGGTACATCTGGAACACCCCTACACGTAGGTGAGTTTTTATTATCAAACAAAGCACAGACGCCATTACTACACACGCATGATTTACATATGATGGCTGAGCCTAGGGCCATCCCCTTCATCCTACGCCACCTCGTCGCCTGGGTCACCTACTACTACACCATATTTTACGAAAATGTCGCCAAGTCCTTCGTAGGCCTGATAGAGTCCGGTGTGTTCGAGGACGAGGACGAGCAGTCCACTTCGCTCGGGGACGATACCGGGGAGAACCGCCGTCACAGAGCGAGAGTACGGAGGCGACGTCTGTCGAAGGAAATGGCCCCGCCCTCGCTTGAGCGTAGCTGATCTCGCTGTAGACGGGAAGTTCGCGACGAAATGGTCGACGAAATGGGCTTCTGCAGTTCGGCGGAAGTTGCGGTCGAGCAGGCTCTGCTCGACAGAATCTGGTCGACGAGCTCTGCGCGATGAGCTCTGGTCGACGATCTCTGCGCGGCGAGCTTCCGTCGAAGAACTCTGGTCGAAGAGTTCTGGTCGAGAAGCTATGCGCGGCGAACGCTGTTCGACCGTGCAGAGTCGAGCTGACTGACCGAAGTTGCAGAGTCGCGCGAAACTCTGCGAAGGCGTGCGAACATTCGCCCATGAGATTTTGGCGAAAGTTCTACCTGCGGAACGGCATCACGTGGTCGACGGCGCGCACCTGGCGAAACCGACGACACGTTTTCTACCTGGCACCTGCGCAATGTGCCTGACGGTGAAACCGTCAACCTGCACCTACTTGGTAGGTGCGCACATCTGCGCAGATAGACAACCTGCGACCGTATAAGTTACCTGCGATTGCAGATAGTCACCTGCGACTGCAGTGCTGGCAGACCGCGCGCAGTGCAACGCTGGCAGACTCCTCTGCTGCAGCGTTGGCAAGCCGCTCTTCTGCTGCGCTGGCAGAGTTCGCCCTTGCTAGGAGTTCCATGCCATTCTAGTCTTTTGTTCTGCATGCCTCATTGTTGTACTCTATTCTTTCCTATCAACTTTGTTATTGCAAGTTGTTCTTTCCTTAGTGGAATTCTTGCCAAACTTCTCAGCAAACATAGCAAGCAGTAAGAACGCTAGCAGAACGCTGCGATCACTCGCACAACCCCGTGCCCTCCTCCGTAGTCCACTCCCGTTGTGTAGTGACTCTCCGCAACGTGACTCTGTGGGTTGAAGACCTGCAACATATGAAGGAGAACGATTTCCAGGACATATTCAGGATCAACCGCGCCATACTTGAGCATGTCAAGAATGGGATGCGACAATATCTAGAGCCCATCGTTAATCGGTCAATAATCACGATGGACACTGCTTTGCTCATCCCAATAAAATACTTGGCGAGTGGGATATCCTACGTTGACATGTCGTACCTGTTCGGTGTCTCCAAGGCACTCTGCCACGAGATCGTCGACGTGTTTCTCACCGATTTCCCCTTCGTATTCAAGGTCGCCTGGGTGCACTTCCCCACACGCGATGAACTTTCCGAGATGGCGCGAGAATTTGCTGCCGTCAAAGGTGTACTTGCAGTGGTGGGGGCCGTGGACGGGGCTCACATCCACATGAAAGGGATGGAAGGGCACATATTGGATTACTGTACAAGAAAGTCGGCCCACGCCGAACAGCTCCAAATCACGTGTGATGCACGAGGCAGTATATGGGATTACGTAATCGGTTATCCCGGCAGCGCGCACGACATGCGGGTTTTCAAGGACTCTGCACTACTTGAAAGGTTATACAACGGGGACATAGCCCCATACCAGATTGTTGGGGATGCGGTCGACCCGCTAAGAGAATACTACCTAACCCCACTGGTTGCACCGCGCGGAGAGGACCTAATGGACGATTGGGCCCAATGTTTCAACTACTGCCAGAGCGCTACGCGCATGGCGGTGGAGAGGTGCATCGGCGCATTCAAAGGGAGATGGCGCATCTTCGGCGGGCGCAAGGACTGCAGGTTATGGCGCATTCTTGCAGGGGCCGCGTGTTGTGTGATTCTGCACAATATGTGTGAAGACATGGCAGACGTTATCGCAAGAACATGGCCTGGTACAATCTGCCTCGCAACCGCGACCCTTGGTGGACACGGGGTGCCATTGCGACACACAAGTGCGAACCGTGTGTTCCACCAACACAACAGGCTCTCAGAGAGAGACGGAAAAGACCGGGTGAGGCCCTACAGGACTCTTACGCTAATCGTCGGTGCCGCGCACCCATATCTCCACATCGTCAGCACCCGGAGTGACGGTGTTGACGTTGCCAACATCGTCGCGCTGCTGGGCGGCTTCGAGAGATGGCGCGGACTCCCCGCGTAGCGGAGGAGGGGTGAAATCCGGCGGCGCACGGTGCACGTCCGGGGGAGCCGATTCGGTCATGCGCTCGCGGGCAAGGCACATGTCCTGCGCCATCCATTCATGGACGAGGCTCTCAATGCGCGTCATCGCGTCACCGTGACAATCCTTGATGGTCGCGGAGACCAGCATTGCAGCTTGCATAGTAGACGTCTCATGCACCCGAGCGCGCTTGGGTGTTGAAGTGGTCGGCGGCGGCGGAGCTGTGACAGAGGAGCGGGGAAAATGAATGACAATCAAGCTCGCGGTAATAGAAGCACGACTCACCTGTAAAGGTTGGTGTCGACGTGCCGGGCTGAGACGAACTTGGAACCTCCATGCCGGCCGGCACGTTGACGTTAGTGGCGCCTCCGCCGTCCACCGCATGCGGTGCAGCTGCGGCGGTGTCCTGGTTGTACAGCTCTAGATATGGATACCACAGTGGTTTCTCCACCGAGCCGTTGCCCGACCCCCCGTCGCCACGCTTGTACTCCCGCCAAAGCAGCATCAAGTTGTGCCACTGCTTTTGCAACGCGTTAACACCCCTGCACCAACCCTCGTTAGACTCCTTGATGTGCGCGAGAAGGCGGACCCAGTATTGCGTCCCCTGCTTCCCCTTGAGAGGCTCGAGCTCGTCTTTGGTGAACCACTTCGCCGCGGCGAAGATGGTGCTCTCCTTGTCCGACCATAAACCCCTCTCGACTGGTGCAGCCGACCGCTTCTTCCGTGGCTCCTGGCGTGGCGGTGGTGCAACCGCCTTGCCTTTGCCTTTGTCAGTCCCAGATGCGCGTGTGACGCTCCGTTTCGGCGGCTGTGCCACAGGTTGCGCTTCCTCCTCCTCGTTGTCGTCCGCGTCTTCATCGTCACCGTCGTCGTCGTCCGACATCCCAAGGTCTTCCGGTCCGTCCTCCTCTTCTTCGGTGTTGTGGCCTTCGTCGTGGTAGTCATCATCATTGTCGTCAGCATCTTGCTCCACGACGGGCCGCACTGTTGCCGCCGTCCTTGCAGGCTGACGGCACACACGTGACGGGGCCACACTGGGCTACTGTGCACTGGATCCCTGGCCGTCAAGCACGGGCGGCGCGGATAAGCCCGTCGGATGGCGCCCGTTGGCGATCTGCTGGTTCATCCAGCAGATGTAAGGGATGTCGTTAAGATCCTTGGGGTAGTCGTTAAGGGTCTGACCCTTATGCTTACGAGCCATGCTGGCGGCTTGGGTGTTTCTAGATCTGAAGGGAGCGAGTGCAGAGAGAAATGAACAGATTGGAACAGGATAGATGGTGCACGAAGATGAGCCCGTAAAGTGTTGGGAGGAGAAGGAGTTGTGGGGAAGGAGTATTGGAACAGGGGGGAAGGCGCGCTGGCGGGACGTGCGCGGTGTCAGAATGTTGTATTTGTCTAGCCTGCAGTGGGGTACTCTATAGCGAGTACAGCCCAATCTAGGGTTTGCTATTTGTATCTCAACTGCTGCTAGTCCAAACTCTCTTTCTGCTTCTAAACTTTCTACTCATTATCTCGACATGGTATCAGAGCAGGTCGACCCTCCTGGGTCGATCCTGTGGGTGGGCCCACCACCTAAGCCTTCCGCTGCTACTGCTACTCTGTGTGTCGCACGCCCCGTGGCGTGCGACAGATTTTTTATCCCGCCGTGCGCCCCGAGGTGCGCGGTGGTTTTCTGCCCGGGGCGCGCGGCGGTTTCCTGCCGTGGGGAGCCCCCGCGCGCCCCGCCCGTCCGTTGCGGCGCCCTGGGGAGCACGCAAGCGCCCCGCCCGTTCGTCGCGGCGCCCTCGGGAGCCCGCGCGCGCCCCGCCCGTTCGTAGCGGCGCCCTGGGAAGCACGCGAGCGCCCCGCCCGTTCGTCGCGGCGCCCTGGGGAGCACGCGAGCGCCCCGCCCGTTCGTCGCGGCGCCCTGGGGAGCCCGCGCGCGCCCCGCTCGTTCGTCGCGGCGCCCTGGGGAGCCCGCGCGCACCCCGCCCGTCCGTCGCGGCGCCCTGGGGAGCCGCGCGCGTCCCCCCCCCCGCCAGTCCGCCGCGGCACTCTGGGGAGCCGCGCGCGTCACTTCCCTCCCCCCGCCCCGTCCGTCCGTTTTGGCGCCCTGGGGTTGCGCGCGGTCCCCCTCTCGCCGTCCCCCGCGCTCCTGCCCCTATCCCACCCGTTTTAGGGTTTGGGGATGTGGAGTGTGGGGGTGGCGGGTGTGGGGGTGCCGGTTGTGTGCCCCGTCCCCTCCTTCTCCTCCTCCTCCGTCTCCCGCTGCTGCAGCTGCCGCTCAGGGGGGTGGGTGTGTGGGGAGCCGACGGAGTGGTACTAGGGGGGTGAAAGGGGAGTGGAGCTAGGGGCGAAGCAGGGGGTGTGTGTCGAGGGGTGTGGGACTGTTGGGGGAGGTTGAGCGGAGGCCGCCGTCGTGTCGTCTGCATCGCCCGTATTCCGGGGTTCTGATAGCCACCGGTAGCTCAGAGAGCCGGTTGCACCTGTCGCCCGTGGGTCCGTTGCTCCTGTCGCTGCTGATCAGACGCAGAGCCTGTTACTCCTGTATTCCGGGGCCCTTGCTCCCGGTAGCCACTAGAGCTGCACTAGAGCCGTCTGTTGCCCGTGTGTCTGCAGCTTCAGTCGTCGCCTCCACTCTTCTCTCCTCTCGCCAGCCCTCCTCCTCCTCACTTGCCCTCTGTGACTGCCTCTAGCTTTGCTCATAAAATGTGAACTACTATTATGACTGCTTGTTGTGCTGATTACACCCCACTTTGGCTATGGGGGTGTGTCAGAATGTTGTATTTGTCTAGCCTGCAGTGGGGTACTCTATAGCGAGTACAGCCCAATCTAGGGTTTGCTATTTGTATCTCAACTGCTGCTAGTCCAAACCCTCTTTCTGCTTCTAAACTTTCTACTCATTATCTCGACACGCGGCCCTGTCAATAATTCCGTGTGAGTCGTCTCGACCAATCACGACGCAGTGTACGCGTTGATGGGGATAGCGGGTTCTTTGAGATGTTGTCTAGATTCATGCAGCATGAGTTGACATTTGGCACCGCGTGCGTCGGATGAAATGTGTTGCAATTAGCTGGCGACTGTTCCGTGTTTCACGTCACCCAATGATAAATACATTCGGCGACAACCACGGGCGGCCCGGCTTTCTGACACCTGGCAGTATATGCTATACGTACGCGTCACAATCGATTCGGACACTTTCTTTGGGACAGTGTGCACAGCGGAATGTACCCTAATTCGAGGATTAGCTAATTTTACAGCTTTTTTTGCATTATTTTCAACAATTTTTCACATTTGTACACTGAATCATCAGCGTACTAACGAGGACGTATGCTAAAATCCCGCTATTAAAGATTCGTGCAGGCGGCGTGAATTTCTGTTGTCTCGGTACATCCTTTGTCAATCACGCCGAAGTTGTTAGCGCTGATGCAGCGGGAAATGGATTTTCCCGACTCATCACTTGCATTGTTATCGCCGACAGAAGGCATCTTGCTTTGTAATTGGCTATTTCGGCCATCACATCACTTAGTGGCCAATACCAATCGAACAACCACCGTCATTGCAGCACAGCAACACACCGCGTGCCCCAACGACAGGACCCTACGTCACCCTACCTCACCCACCCCAAACTTGCGACCAAGTACGTGCATGTTGCTTGTCGTTGCATCGCATTGCAGTTGGGTGGTAGGAACAAAAAATCCTTCTTTTTCAACACTCTCCTGAAAACCCTACCCTCCAACGAGCTGCACTCACTATCCATGCCTCTCGTGCTGTTCCTTTCCCAACCCTCTCAACACAGAGCTCGGCACGCTCTCGTCATCGTTCAACCATGGATGGTCATGCTGAAGGCATGACCGGCGACGATGATGCAGGCCTAGACGGCAATAAAGTAGACGGCCTCGATGAATCCATGAAGGGGCTGGACATGCTTCTGCGCTCGCTAGGTCGAGATATAGTCACACAACTGCTACATTCAGCAAAGCCTGCTCCAATCGTCACTGACAACCACCACCCGTTTTTTCAAGCCCGAATTATATCCTGAGTGAACCCGCTGAGGCGACTGCAGTTTTCGACACTATGGTAGTCGAGAAACCTTCATTATAGTCTACAAATCTGTGCACTATCAAGCTCAAGTAGTCGACGCTGACTTGGGCAAGGCCATCATCCAGCGTCGCAGTATCGCAACCTGTCGTGAACAACTCCACCATTTTCCTGCCCCTGAAATTTGACATTTCTGAGCTCATCGAAGAAGTCTATGTAGACACCTCCGAGAAATACAAGTCAAGGTGGTCTGATATATTCTCGTTGCTTAACCTCTTCTGGTTTGCCTGCTTTCAAGCGCAGTGTGTGCTCCAAAGATGCTGGAGCTAGGGGACGATATGGCAGGACTGGTACAAGGGAGACCGACGTGTAGTCGCATGCATTTTGCAAGCACGCCGAGGCGACGAAGCACAAGTTGGCGATGGAGAAGCAGGAGGTATCTGTCAGAATAACTGAACGAGGAATAAATGAACTAGCAGTGAAAACAGTACAAGTACCTAACCCTAGAATTGTGTACCCCCTATAGGCTAACCCACTGCAGCCTAAACAAGCACAACACATATAATGTTTGACACACCCCCATAGGCAAAGTGGGGGAGAGCAAGGGGTCACAAGACCAGTCAAAGCAAAGCAAAACAAGCTCAGGGTGGATCTCAAGGATGCCACACAAATTCCGAGCACAAGCAAGTGGTCACAAGACTAGTTCACATGCAGGTTGATAATATAACAAGAGATACAGTGATAACAACCTAGCAAGTGTAAACATGCAGGCATATATATAAAGATCACAGTACAAGCAGAGTCAAGAAGTAAGCAAGTGAGGTCCAGCAGGCACAAGGCCTAGAAGAGTACAGAAACGCTGATGGTCACAAGGCTGAAGCGCCTTGGTGAACACATCAGCAAGGTTGGCCTCAGTGGCCACGTAACGCAGACAAAGCTGACCACGCTGCTGCAGCTCCCGAGAAAGGAAGTACCGCAGGGCGATGTGCTTCGTTCTGTGCTCCAGTCTGTGCTCCTCACACAAGGCAATAGCAGCCTGGTTGTCGACGTACAGCACTGGAGGAGAACGAGGCCGCTCTCCCAAGTCG